CACACACACACACACACACACACACATCCAAACCCTAACACGGGCCACAGTATGTAAGCACACCCAGTATGCAAAGCCCATAAGCACTCCTTAGCCTCCATTGAAATCTCACGCTATCCAGCCGGAAGTTATCTTCAATTTCCAGTGTGCTTCCACCATGCAAGAGAAGACACCCCCGTGACAAAACAATGAAAACACCATTGCAGCGGGCCAATCCCAGCTCAAAGAGCCCGGACCAGGAGCTCCCGCCACGCCTCCGTATCAAAGACCAGGAGGCAAAGCCACCTGATCAAGCCTAGCGGTTTGGTGTGACGTCCAAATTCCGCCCGCCAGCTGCCCACACATCTCCATCACTCCCTCCTCCGCTAAGTGAGATTACCAACTTTTATCAGCCGAAACCTGTTGTGGCCAGATGCCGGTCAAAGCCTCCTCGACGCATTCCCTCCTGCGACCATGCGCACCACCCAGCCACGCCATAGCCACACCGACGACAGGTTCTGGCATCGCAGGTTAACTGGCAACGTCAACCTAGCAGCGCAATCCCCCAGCGGTCGAACATCGTGTGGGGGCGGCTCGTTAGCGCTGCGTTACGGCAGCGCTAACGCGAGGCCCCCAATTCACTGTAGAACTCCCCCTGAACACGCTGAAACTGAACAATTGTTCTTTCATGCGTTTTTTTTTGTTTTTTTTTAATACATTTTTTTTTTATTATACATACAAGGATTTTGGATTTTTGACGTAAGATGAAATCTCATAGAGAGAAACTCAATGCGATAAACACAAACGTCACACACAGATGTGAGAAGTGTATGCATAAAGCAAAAACGATGAATGATTGAAAACGCCGGTGGGTATGGCTACCCCGACCGGTTTCGACCGCCGCCACGCGGTCCTCTTCAGGGGGAAACTTCCACCAATCTTCAACCCTTAGACTAATCCTTACTAATCCTTAGACCACCTCCGTCGTCTACCTGCGACATCTCCGGAAACACCGGTCAGGTAGACTAAACGTCAGACCCAAAAAGACCCTCGAACGTATCAATCATTGGTTTTATAGGTTCACAACGGCTTAAACAAAGATAAGACCCTGAAAATACAAGTGCAAAAAGCAAGAAAAAATCCAAGACGGACCAGGTACAGCAACAAACCACTACCTGTAACTAGTCCTTCAAAAACAGATCACAAATTCGAATCCTAAAGACACCGTGAAAAATAATAGTGGACCCAAAGGGTTCCAGTCCCAGGACAAGATAGGCTCGCCATAAGTCACCGGTTCGAGTATAGATGGCGTCGACAATATCTGTAGCGCAAAATAAGAACTTGTTCGAGTGGCCCGGTACAAAGCTAATACAAGAACAGCTAGCAGGTCGCAGTATCTGCGATGTCTCTAACTGGAAAAAGCATTACAGGCCAACTAGTCCTCAACTCAGTCCCGATTCTCAAGGATTAGCAGCCAGTTCAGGAGATGCACCGATTCCTACCCTGTTCAAGAGATGCACAGATTCCTACCTTGTCAATACTATCTACAGACGACCAAACTATGTTCGGCTATACATCAGAAAAGCGTAAACGAGGAAGTAATTGCAAACAGTGAACAACAGAAGAGACAGAAGAGACAGGCAGGCCGAAGAAAAAGGTGAAGTAGCACAACTAATCATCGCTAAACAATCAATGGTAATACAAGGGAGGGAGGAAACCCACGGCTTTGCTCATCTGTACGCTTTCCTTTTTTTCCTTGGGCTGCTCATCTGCTCGTAGATATCTTTTCACTCCCTTTTTCCCTATCAGCCTGTCCACCCCCCCCCCCCCCCCCCCCCCCCCCCCCCCCCCCACAACGAAAAAAAAAACAACATGGTGCAATGAATACACCAGTGTTCGCCCATCCCAGTCAAAGAAAACAAAATGGCCTTTACAAACGATGCAGAAGAAGACAGTTTAAGGACACCCATCATTTTTCACAGACGACCCAGGACCAACTACACTATGGGCCTCGCCCCACTATGCTCCACATGCAGAAAAGACAAAAAATATGGCGGTGCATCTTTCCATGTTCTGACGGAAGATTCATTCTCACATTTTCCACATTTGATGAGTAGTGCATAGGAAAATGAGAGAGAGCAATAGACACAAAGCCTAGGCTACCAGCCGGGCCGCCCGGGTCACCTTGTTTTCCCGGGCGGCCCGGCCGTGCAAGGACCAGGCAAGGTCCCAGCAAAAAAAAACAAAAAACAAATATCCAAAAAATCCGAAACAAATCCTATATTATGCAGAAAAATAAACTGAACAACGTTTGCCTCAGAGGTACATCCAAAATTTCTACCAAATCCTATCTATGCTCTGGCCAGGTCGCTGCCTGGATGAGCCCAGAGGCTCACAATGTCGTGATCCCCACTGGTGTAGGCCTTGTAACCGACTGGCTCGTGGCAACTGTCTGGTGCCCGCATGCAAAAATACAAAAATAGGCCTCAACTTAAAATGCATGCCCGCCTTCACTTAGGGCAGGCACGAGGTTTTCAGGGGGCGCTTCTTTTCTCGGCTGTCTGGGCCGGAAAGGCCTTGTGAGGGGCCCAATCCTCGCAGTAGTGATCGAAATGGCTCCGAGTCCTTCGGCAGTTCCTCCTGTCCGAGCGACTTCCACAGACTAAACAGACTGTGCCGTGTTCAGAGTCGGCAAGGTATTGTTCTTGCGCTTCCCCTTCCTTCTCCTTCTGCTCATTATTTTCACAATTTCCAGTTAACGCCAGAGAATGGCAGAAATTTTCGGCTGTCTGGGCCGGAAAGGCCTTGTGAGGGGCCCAATCCTCGCAGTAGTGATCGAAATGGCTCCGAGTCCTTTGGCAGTTCCTCCTGTCCGAGCCTGCGCTTCCCCTTCCTTCTCCTTCTGCTCATTATTTTCACAATTTCCAGTTAACGCCAGAGAATGGCAGAAATTTCGGTAGCACTTCCCCCAGGAAAAAGGGATTTTCTTTTCAAGTTTTTTTTTTTTTTTTTTTTTTTTTTTTTTTTTTTTTTTTTTTTTTGTTGTTGTTGTTGTTGTTGTTGTTGTTGTTGTTGTTGTTGCAAGTATTGCCAAGTTTGTACCTCTCTGATTCTAGCTAAAATTCTAAGTTCAAAAAGTATATATAATATCTAGGCTGTTTTTCCGGCCGCCCAGGCACCTAACTTGTGCCCGGATACACGCCCGGGTGCCCGGCCGGGCATGACCCCGGGCAGGGTTCCGGGCAGCCTCAGCGCAAAAAAAAAAAAAAAAAAAAGAAAGTAAAAAAAATCCAGAAAACATTGCAATACAAACATCTTTTGGCTGAAGGTCACATCAGGATTCCTCACCGAATCGGAGTTAAAAAAGAAAATATAAAAATCACACTAAGGCACCCCCCTTTAAAGTTTAAACCCCCTTAGCCCCTTTAAAACAAATTTATACCCCCCTTCCCCCCCCTTGAAACCCTACTCTCAAAAAATGAAAAGAGCCCGGATTTGGGGTCCTCTGGGAGAGGGCAGAAGGCAAAAATAAAAATAAAAATGAACATAACATGGATAACAATAAATATTATTTTTTTCCACGCCGGGTACCCGGGGCGTCAGAACCCCCCCTGGCATCACGCCCGGGTGCCTGGCCGGGCATGAAACTCTTCCTAGTATAATATTATATAAACTATTATAAAGTTTATAACTATTATAAAGATTATATATTTACCATGTCATCTGTTTTTGTGGGAGTTCCACTGCTGATCAGTTCTTATTCATCTTTTCTTTTTTTTGTTGGGCTTCCACTGGTAGGTTTATCACTATCATTCCAAGCTCATTATGAAGCAGCCCTGGACAGGGGGCTCCTTTGCGTGGCACCAGGACTACGGATACTGGTACATATAAATTCTGCTAGTAAATACAAACCATTCCTTCTCCCCTTTTCTGTTTCTTTTCCTTTTTGTTTTTTTTGGTCAGTTGTTGAAGCGTCTGCTGTGGGCATGTCAGATCTCATTTTTTAGAGTGTAGTTGTGTGTTGTGAAGGTACAACACACAGTGCAAAGTCAAACAACAAACAGTTACCGTAGTGACAAAGTAGACGAGTAGAACACATAACATGAAAACAGGATTCCATTATCAAACCAACAGTCCCAAGATCCGCCTTCAAACCACAAACAACCATGGCGGCAGTCTACTGTCATCACAATAGATGGACCAACTGTGGAACCTGAGAGGGTGAACTAAGTCCTTTGTCTACCTATTAAACCACCAGTACTTGGCCCAGCTATCGGCCGCGGAAAAAAATAGAGTAGAAACATTTCTAGTTGGATGAATTTGGGCGCTCCTGTAGTGGCCCGTACGTTTCCTAAAATCGCGTAGCGTTAACGGGCACCACTTTAGGAAGTACTGGTGGTTTAATAGGAAGTTCGAACAAACATGATTCGGCCGGTCCACCTCATTGAGGCTGGAGGGCCTAGTCCAGATACCGGGAACCTGGTCCACGAGAATTTTGTCATGTACTTCTGCGGAGAGGCCCTAAGGAGGGCCAGCGACAGAACACAGCTTCCGCAAAGATCCTGAGTACCAGTCCTACTACAACAAACTACTTAAAGAACAACTTAAAATGCCCTGTTCGAGGCCGGACCGTTCAAAATCCAACAGACTACAATTTCCGCGAAAATCCAGTTTACCAGTCATAAAACAACTACTTGACAACAACTTCAAATCAAAGATGGCCCTGTTCGAAGCCAAACATGTTGCCATATACACACAAATTCAAATACAGCAAAGCAAACATACCCTACTCGAGTTCAATTTCCCAAATCACCACATCTCCCCTAACTACTCATCACCACATATGAAAGCAATAGTACACTGCCACAAACTGTCATGTCGGCTTGCAAAACGTTGGAATACTCTATTAAACCACCAGTACCTGGCCCAGCGGCGCTTCCCGTATACGCGCCAGGCCATTTGGGCTTCGGCCTGCCGAACCGCATTGGCTGGAGGCCGCAGGCAAAACGAAAAAGAAAATTGCGACGGCGGTTCGGCAGGACTTGGCGCGCAGCGTGCTGGGAGGCTCGGATTCAATAGCTGAGCGAGGTACTGGTGGTTTAACGAATTTCACATGGAAATCCTTTTTGGATAACTCCTGCTGCGGGCCAAGAACCTTCCCAGGGATCTCCGATCGAATCGAGGTATTCCGATCGATCCGATGCAAGTGGCTCCCAATAATTGCACTTTTCTGCTTCTTGCTTCCCCATGAGAGATACGACTGTCCATTCTGAATGTTTAACTTGCCCTCGGTCCAGATACTCTCCTCATTCTTTGACAATTGGATGCTTCCTAAAAACGATGTATCTGGTCCGTATGATTGCGATGTACGTATCTGACATCCAATAAAGTCCGTGGTCCTAGAACTGTTGTCAGTCCGTCTTAGGATCAGATTACTTGGGTAGCATATGACAAACGAGTCAAAGATAAAGGATCTAATCGCCTCATCCTTACTCGAAATGACTAGCAGGACATCATCGATCAGACGTAGAGCACCCATGTATCGATAAGCACGACCCAGTGTACATGTCAGACGGTATTCAAAATATGCACACATAATACAGGCAATAGGCGGACTCGTACTCTTTCCCATCGGTATACCGAAATCCTGTTTGAGAAGAACTCCCATGGCAAAGAAATAAGTATGTCCGATCTCCAAATGAACAAAGCTCAGAATGCCCTTCAGGGTACAGACGCTTCCAATGATCCGCTCCTGTCGTGACTCCAAAAGTAGTTCCGTCCTTTTTTTTTTTTTTAAGAAAACTTCCTCTAGTGCTAGTGGTGCTGGCAAGAGCAGACACCACTAGCACCTCAGGAAAGGCTCCATCTATTGGTGGGAAGCGTCACCTGCTGGAAAACGGGTCCAGCGTCCCTTGAACAAGATGATTAAGAAAGAAAATCGAAAAGGAGGAACTGAGAAGCTCCTGCCAGCATTGAGTACTCTGAAATCAGAGGATTGACTGAGGAGGTCGTTGAAACAGGGGCTGATACCATCCTTCTCCTAATCGTACCGTACTCCACCTGGAGACACGAAGACACCTCTGGGGGGCACCAGAGGCACCGTTCATTCCCCTATCCATCCTAGCCCATTCCCTTACCACTACCTGGCTGCAAGCCTGTTCCTCTGCGTGACTTGAGTTCCGGTGGGGGCTGCTGGGGGCCACCAGTGGTTCTTCCCATCGTTTCTGAGCCTGCTCCTCTATCCTTTGTCCATTCTCAGAAAGGCGTAAATTTGTCTTTTTGCTTGGAACAGATCATACTCTGATTTCTAGGGCTAAAGGGTCTGGTAGGAAGGGTCCGGAAAGTCCTCTGCCAGCCTCATTGGACTTTCTGGGTCGATATCCATCCAATTCATAAAAAGGAGGCGGTAGTCCCGGGGGAGGTCCCTTTCCATCCTATCTTCATCGGGTCCCCTCCCCTCTTGCCCACCCCCTGACCATCGCACCTTTGCCACCCATCCCCCTTGTTCCCCTCCCAGGCAGTCTTTGGAAAACCTTACCATTCTATACCTAATGTCCTTCTTTCTGTGGAGGGAATCAAGAACCTTTTTGGTTTCCCCCCACTGATGTTGAAGCTCTAGTTGAAAAAGTTGCTTAAAATGTTCTCGCCTTTCCTCTCCTTCCACTCTCACATGGTCGAAGACCGAGGCACAGCGCTGCCACCATAGAGTCCAGAGTACCGCTCACCTGCCAAGGTGGAACATATTTCTTACAAAAGTGTCCCCTTGGATTGTCGGGCAGTGTCCAAGCAGGAGGGATCTCCAGTCCCATGGCCACGGGATTTGGGGGACCATTTGGCTCCAAATCCTACCCGACCACCTCCATGTAAGTGTCGCTGCAGGACATTGAAGAAAGATGTGTTCGATTGTCTCCGCTCTTTTCCTAGCTGGGAAATTGTCAGTGCAGCGCTAACACCATGGGAGGGCCGTGCCCTGTTGCTCCAGCTGTGAGTGGTCAATCAGCCAATTATTTGTTGGCAGGCAGCAATATGTGATTTGCCACTGGAGGGACGTAATCTTGGCAGGTCTTGTTTTGCAGTCGTGGAACCACCGTATGGGAGTCAGGAGTTGTCTGTCAATGTTCAGATGTTTTTGCCACCTATCGATCACAATATCCTTCAGGTTTCATTGCGGTCGAAGCATCCTATAAGTTGCCTTTACTGACAGTTTAGAAAGCTTCTTGTTTTGGGGCACTCCGGATACCGGTGGTCTCTCGTGCTTCCAAGACCATTCCTCAGGGTCCAAAGGTAACCGCTCTATCGGGGTTTCAGGGCGGTAAGCCCACCGCTCCCCCCTGTCCTCCTGGACTCTCACTCTGTGTAGTTGTCTTTTTTCAATCCACATCAAGGGGTCTGTACTTCCAGCCAGCCGATCATCTCTTCTCTTCCCACCGTGTACTTCTCGATTAGGGCATCATCAGGCCTGAGGAGGTGTACCAGACCTACCCAGCCGTTTGTTCTTGCCTCCCCCACCCCGTCCCCTTCCTTTAACCTACGCCCTCGTCGTAGTATGGGAAGCCACCCTAGCGGGAGAGCCTCTGTAATTTCTTCTAGTGTTGCGTCCGTGTTATGACAGTAGCGCAGCTCCCCCCTCAATTGTTCGGGTAGCTTCCAATCCATTCTGTCATATGTTTATCCCAGATGTCACCCACCCACATCACCCCGTTTTTCACCCAACCCCTCCACGGGGAGTCTGAAGCACAAAAAATTCGGCTGTGTGTGTCCGTTATCTAGGTGTTTCTGAAAAGGGGTTGTCGGGCCACTTCCTCCCATCTCTCCGGGGTCCTTCTGCTTTTTTTTTGGGGGGGGGTCCTCCATGTTTTGAGCATACGACACTAGAAGCCATTCTTTGTCTCCGTCGTTCCTCGTGGTTTTCTTGGGATTTTCCAATACCGGTCATCGATCCATGATAAGGGGTCGATCGAAGGGTGGGCTTCGGGAGCCAGGCGTGCGATTTGTTCCACGGCCAAGGACCTCCACGGAAGGGGGTTATCGAGAATCAACCGGGTGCCATCCTTGAGTGTTCACCCGCACGAAGTCATGCCCAATTCTTTCCTGATGGTCAATAATCCAATCGATTGCACGGAGAATCTCATCGTGTGCCAACTTATTAAACATCTCCTTGATATCAAAGGAGTAAGAAGTTACCACACAATTACTCCCTAATCTTCCCAATCTTCAATTAATCACCTCCAACTGAGTAGTCCGATCAGAAACAGCACAGAGATTAAAGTGCCAGCACTTGGGCAGTGTGTAGAGCAGGTGATTTAACCCTTTGGCCACAATGCATGTCGTTCGCACCATCGGCTCACTGAATGAGGGGCAAATAGGTCGATACCGGCCTAAGTCTTTCTGTTTAGGAATTATGTAGGCCGAACCAAATTTCCCACTCGAATCCCAATTCACAAACTTCCCAAGTTCCAATCGACAAACATCCTCGTGAATCTCTCTCAATACGTCAACTTCTGCGTGACCAATCACACGGTAGCCAGGATTAAAAACAAACGTGTTCATCATAGCCTCAAAATACACGGCTGGGCACATAGCCACAGACTCACGAGAGTTCCGGTCAACTGATGGCACGACCAAATCTTTCAGACGAAACTTGAGTGCCTGAACCTCATCCATTGAAATGCTCAATGCATTACCAGTGTTCGACAAGAGACAGAATGAGAGATCCAAAGTCCAACAGTCCGGTACATGACCTCCCAAATTCTTCCAGTTCTGAAACCCCGAAACCAATCCCTCACGGAGCAAACAAAGCCTATCAAAAGCCTTCACTCTCAGGATATTGTTACCATTTGATAAATTGACGATGATAGTGGGTGCTGATCGGCTACCTCGCTCAATCGAAACAACACATGCCCACTCACGCGCGGGAAATCCATACCCATGCAACAACAGGTAAGCACACCATGTGTTGAAAAACTACGATGGTTTTGCAACAAATCAGCTATCATAGGGTTTTTTGTCCCCACGATGCGGATTTTTCTTCGTGCTCGGAGCATCAAACACTGAGGCAAGTCAAGGTGCTGAAAGAAAAAAAGGAAGCAATTATACGGGCTGTTGCTGCGTTCAAGGTGCTGGGGGAAAAAAAAAAAAAAAAAAAAAAAAAAAAAAAAAAAAAAAAAAAACAAAACAAAACAACAACACTAAACCTAAACATTAACCAGAAAGCGAATGTGGCCACTGGTGTTGTGGACTTCCAGGTGCCGCTTTGATTTGAAGACACAGTTAATATTACCGGAAGGATTTGAATTAGCACCTCCTAATTGTGTTTCTCCTAATATGAAGGAAAAGATAGGCAATCTTTCTTTTCAGTCTGATAGTCCTGATAAAAAATTAAAAAAAACATCTCAGTTGTAGGGCCGGTTCCAGGAAAGAAATACAGTGAAATAACTTTTCCTATCTTGACTCCAGATCCTTCAATAAAGAAGCCAACTAATATCTTAAATATCCTATTTATGGTGTGCAATACCTCGGCTCAAATCTGCATAAGCTTGGGCTATAGGTCGTCACTTTTGCTCAAAAGGCCTGAAACAGGGGCCAAAAGTGGCGCCCTAAGTCTAAGAAAAGCCTGGGCAAAGGCCTAGTAAGGCCGAGGGGTACCCAGGGGAGGGCCAAAACCAGCATTCAGAAGGGCCCTAGGAGGAGCAGTTGACTTTGAGAAAGTCAGCGTCAACCCCAGCACGGGAATCCAGGCCCAGAGATCAAAGTCAATCCGCTAGTGTCTGCAGGTATCCAGAAGAATCCGGTCCAAGTGGGACACATGGGAAATCTGCAACAGCGCAGCATCCAGGACATTGGCTTCCAATTGTTACAGAAGCCCGAGGTAGGTAGTGTGAGACGGAAAATATTGAGAGAAGAAAAAAGCATAGTAAATGCAGCTGTCCCCCCATATGAGGAGAAGGCAGCCTGCATCAAAAAAAAAAAAAAAAAACTGAGGATAGATTGTTTCGTCGGAGTTGCACCGAATCATCAGGAGGCTGAACCTTCGACAATCTGCGGCATGCCCGTATTTATGGTTCGGGTCACGTGTGTGTGTGTGTGTGTGTGTGTGTGTGGTGATGTTTAAGTATCTTGTAAACCCCAGTTGTCAGCTTCACACCAAGACATGGTTTTCCCTGGGGACTAGACTCAACATTACCTCCCTAAGATGCGTTCCAACGCTTCGCAGTCAAGTGCACTCACAAGCAAAAGACACTGAGTGCCCACAACATAGATACTAAAGATACAACGGCTGGAGGGCAAGGGGGAGGCGGGAGGGCAGACAACGTGCAAGCACACCAGCAGGCAAAGTCCCAAAAGGATGCCAAGACCAAGCAGAGAAGGAAAACATCAGAGCAAAGCAAGCAAAAGGACATCAAGGCAAAGGCTGGAGGGCACGGGGGAGGCGGGAGGGCAGACAACATGCAAGAACACGAAACAGGCATACAAGCACACGAAGGCAGGCAAACCGAAAAAAATACAAGTCAAGTAAATCGGAAGACCGAAAAAAATAAACTGATGATGACAAGATTGTTTCGTC